ATTCCCTGGACTGTTCTTAGCCCTTGTGGGCTGTAAATTCCACTGAATGCTGCTATGCTACTTATAATTTAACAAACTGGGAGATCAAATCCAAACCTCCTAAACTGTGCAGCTGTGGAAGCTGTGGAAGAATTCAATGCTGCTAATTCAGGAGAGGTTGTTCAGCTCTTCTGTACTATTCAGAGATTGCTCTGACTCTTCTCATTTTTAAGATCTTCCATAGGTGTAGATTCCAGTCCATTTCTGTTCAGTGTAGAATTCTAATACTTTCAACGCTGGCTATATCAAACTGCAGGCAAATGCTGCAGTTACTTCAGCACATGTAACTTGCAGTAGTGAGGGGAAGTAACCCCTTTCATCCCGAAGAGATGGATGTCTGTGGGACACATTCTGCTCTATGATACCTTTGTTACTTGCATGGGATTGTAATGGTGTGAGGGGATAATATATCCTATGGTATTTCTCCCACAAATAGGCTTTTTTGATAGGAGTGACCTATGTCACATCTCAGCAGTGCAAGAGGGAGCTCCAGGAAAATAAAAATCCTGCTCAATTTTTCAAGAGGGACTGTGTCTCATAGGACTACTGTTTTTCTCCCCCTCCTCCCTTCTTCCCTTCCCCCCCTACCCTCTGCCTTGTTTTGACTTGTACTCTCTGCACCTCTGCTTCACTTCTGCCTGCCGTGCTGAAGAGATGCCACCCACAAGAAAATACCCCATCAGTTATAACTGGGCACAGAAGAGGCTCTGGTAGGATCAGTCTGAACCTGAACTTGGCTGAACTGGTCATCTAAAGATACCAAAGCATACATTATTGTAGCAACTCTAGTTGCATCTGTTCCATCTCACAGAAAAAAATACCTGTGAGGGGAATGATTTTATTACCTATAATTTTAGTAACCACTTTACTCCCTGTCAGAGTAATCTCTCCTACTTTTATGAATGACTAAAGTAGCATAAATATTTCAATATTGTGGTTTCTGGACTAACTTGCTGGTGGTTCATCACAGCAAGGTTTTTGTTCGTTTGGGTTGTAAAACCAGTGTTTTTTCAGTCAGTTTCGTTTGGAGGAAATTGTTTCTGGTAAGGTCTGCAACACAGGGAAATGCATTAATTCTCAAAGCTGCGTGAAGTAGCTTCCCCAGGCTGCCCAGAATCACAAAAGAGAGTGGTGCAATAAAAGAGGTCACTTTTTCCCCTTTGAACATTTGGAATGAGGGGGTTCAGGAAAAGGGTCTCAGAAACTCTTTCCTTTTTCTTTAATACAGTCCTGTTCAGTGTTGTGTTCAGTTCACATTTTAATCATGTTTCAAGACTGAAGTGATCATGCAGACCCTGAGATTAGCTCAGTTGGTTAGAGCATGGTACTAATAATGCCAAGGTTGCAGGTTTGATCCCCATATGGACCATTTGCTTAAGAGTTGGACTCAATGATCCCTGTGGCTCCCTTCCAACTGAGATTATTCTGTCATTCTCTGATGCCGGAGAGGAGGAAATCATCCATTCAGCTTCATGGGTGTACTGACATATGTTGTAATTTCTAAGTTACTTGCATCTCTTGCTTACCAGTGGTCCCAGCTGCAGTCAAAGGATGATGTCTCCTTTGGTGGATAGTCTTGCTCTTCTCTCCCCGCTGTGCAATCACAGGCTGAGCATGTCTGAGGACTGAGCAGCTCTCAGAGCATACATCTCTACAATTGCAATTGAGTATGGCATGGACCTGATTTGATATTATCTTTTCTCTTTTTTCATGTGCAGATTATAGTTCTGGAGGGGAAAAACAGCACAGTCTTTGTATTGTACAAGGCTCTAAGTTGCAGGAAGGTATCTGACATGCTTGCACTGCACTTGGATACAGAGCATGTAAGGCCTCTGCTCTCTCTTCAGCATCTCTGCCCACTGCTCCCAGTGTGAGTTGTCAACATGTGCCCTGACTACCTTGAGAGGTCTAATTTTGTTATAAAAAAACACAGAGCAACAGTATTGCTTGTGACCTGTCAAGACTCATAAACCAAAATGTTAGCTCTTCAGAACTCCTCCTCCCCCGTTCTTTTAAGCGTTTAATAGCTACACAGTCAGTCACCAGCCTTTCACCAGTGTTCTTCAAAGGCAAGGCCAACACCACAGAGCACTGCACGCAGCTGGCTCTGCTTGGCTGTGAGTTCATTCCCATTAATAGAAACTGACTGTCCTCAAACCAGTAGGTGTTATCAACAGAGTCAAAATATTCTATGCTTTTTCTTATGAGGTGAGGATGTGAAACAAAAAAAGACTTGTTATCTTCCCTATTCTGGTACAGAGGATTTACATTTACCGGTTCTCACTGTCCTGAGTCTGTGAAGGAGTGGCTTTTTATCTGGCTTTTCTAGCTCTGTGGACAAAAAGTCCTTGCTTATACATACAGCTGTCAGAAAGTTCCTACAGTACTTTCTGAGTTTTCCACAATTCTGGAGTCACTGTCATGCAGTATGTATTGATTTACTGTATTGTACTATAGAGACCTTCTGCCAATTCATTTAATACCGACCATTTAGGATTCAATTTTTGTTGCACTATCAAGCTTTTGAAGAACAGGATGATGTAGATTGCTAAGAAATATTTCCTGCCCCTTCAGCCAGGGAAGGAACTGTTTAAGTGAAATCAAAGATGGGTGCCTGTAAATAGCAAAGAAAATGTCAGACAAATTACAGAAAGTGCGAGTCTTGCAGTTAATTGAGAAATAACAATTCAATCCTGCTGCAAAAGTCTGGTGGTTTGGGGGTGGAGGTGGATGTGGGTGTTTTGTTTTTTGACCCCATGAGGTTGCCAGTTCTGACTCCTTGGTATCTCACAGCAACCACAAAACACAACCATAAATCCCACAAATGGCATGACTGTAGGAAAATCTACAGAGTTTTCTCATCTGGGAACACAAGTGCTGTGTCGTGCTGTTTTCTTGGAGTGTATTTTGAAAATATTTCTAGTGTTGGATTTTTTTTACATCTCAGTACAGTGTGAAGGAGTACAAGGGCATCTTCTACTTCTTAATGAAGCTGCAAAAATAGACACAACTGTCTTGTCTTCTGACAGCTTTTTTTTAAGTCAAGCAGGTTTCTGGAATCATGCCCATCTGCCCAGTGAACACCTTTTGAGATGGACCAATAGGTTCAGACAGATTAGCAGGAGGGTGATCTTACAAGCTTCAGGAGGAAGCCAAAGAAGAGGGGAGAGAGAGCCCTTATTAGTGTCTCCACAAGAAAAATAAAAACTGTTACAGATTTGTGCCATTTTAGACACCAGAGAGTACACAGGAGAAAAACAGTATGATGGCACAAGATTATATAAGCAGCTCTCCCATCCTATTAAATATCAGCAAATCCAACCACAAAAAACCAGCTCATAGTAAAATAGGTTTGAGTAGCTTTGCTGCCCATAGAACTTCTTGTTTATTTTGAGACAATTGTAATTCCCACTAATGAAGGTTCTGAGAATGAAGAAAAGCATTTCTGTTCATTTTGGGACTACAAGACACATCTGATGTTTTGATTTTTCATCTCACATATTTAGAGGATGTGGATTGCTCCTTTCTTTCTCTGCTCTGATTGGACCATCGAACTTTCTATATTGAGACCCCTTGTTAACAAGGATTTGCCACCTTTACCGACTGGTGAGCTCAACAGGACAGTAGGGAACTCTGAAGCACCACCCAATACTATGTGCTAAAATATTTGCCTACAAGGAGTCTGACTGACCAGATATTTGTTATTTAATATTTAGTATTTAATATAAATATGAATATTTACTTTAAATTCTTGTACATGCATTTATGTAAAGGAGTAATGCAACTGTGGAATGACACATGTGGGAGAAGAAGGAACTTTGTATGGTACTTTGAACTTAGATGGCACAGACCCTCCCAAAGGTTCCCAGGGAATGGCATAGGGTGAAGTGAAGGGGAGAGCACGGATGGGAGATAAAAGCATAACCTATTGCCCTCCCTTACTGCTGGTTCTACTGGAAAGTTTTCTCCACGGTTGTGTCCAGGCTTCAAGCACAGATCAGGAGACACATCAAGAGTGCTTATGTGGAAGCCCCCCTTTTGGGTCCTCAGTGGCACTTGACAATCCAGCGACCATAAACTGAGGTCTGGTTTCAAAGGGAGCTCCTTGGATTTGTTTCTTGTGACTGAACTGCAATTGCAGCAGTTAAGACTTTGCCCTTGTTGGAGCACTAAGAATGTCTCACTTTCCCATTTACCTTCCTTGTGGCCATTAATATGTGAAATTGCCTGACCTCCATTCCCTCAGTCATCACACGCTTGGTGGTCTTCTTCCCTTACCCAGTGACCTGTTTGGTTTTGTTTGTCAGCCTCTATGTCAAATTTTGTTTAAACTGTCCAAGGCATTGCAAAGATATGTAGAGGACATACATAGGATACACATATAAAGCCTGACTCAAAATGTAAACTAGATGGCTCTGGAAACTGGCAGTGGATAGTTCAAATTTCCCATGTGTCAACAGTTAAAAAATAAAGAACAAAGATAGGGAAATAGCCATAAAACATTTCTACAGAAAATTGTGGTTTAGAGAGTGGCAGTACTCTCAGCACACAGCAGTTGAGACCAATATGATTTTATGCCCTGTTTTCCTTCTTGCTGTTTGATGCATTATTTCTCTGGGACAGCACAAAGTGATTTTTTACTGAAATATTACTATTTCAGCTTGTAGTTTCAGCACGATGGAGTTCCTCCCAGATATGCTGCTCACCAGAGCAGGCTGTGTGGTATTGTACAGTTTTTGTCTTCCTTGTTTTTAACTACCTTCATTATATCCCTGCTCTGGACTTTTTCTGCAGCAGTTTCAAATTGCCACAGGCATAATTCAAGGGTATTTAAATAATGCATATAGGGTGTGGCTTCTTGGAAGAAGTGATGTGTGCTTTCAGTATCTGAAGGGGGACATTATAAAAAGCTCAGAACAGTGGAAGGACAATAGGTGTGGTTTGGATTCCAATTTACTATCCAAATAGTGCCATTTAGTCCTAGGTGGGAAGCAATTTGAAAGCGTTTGTTCAAATGTCCAATCTACCAGCAGTTTCTCCTTAGCCTGGCACCCTCGTAGACAATTTCTTCATTCAGTCTCTCTGCTTAAAAATAGAAGCACTTCTCAGGGTTTTTGCCATTAACCAGGGATGTGGAGGCTGCTCACTTTGTACCTGTTGAGTAGAAATGGACTGTCAGCTTCCTTAAACTATCACAAAAGTCACTTCTTTTTTAACAGAAAGAAAATACTTCAGTGAACTTTTTAGTTTGATTTCTCATCAAAACCAATGGCATATTTGGTATCTATAGAGAATTTTTGGTGACAATCCAGCAAATCAGAATTTTGTACGAAGAACATTATTAATAATACATTCCCTGATTAGCCTAACTTTAAAGAAGAAAAATATGAATACTTTTTCTCTAAGAGCTGGCACAGGAAATAGTATTTTCTGATTGTGCATCTGAGAAAAACAAGCTTAGATATTACCTAAACCATTCTTTTTGCGGGTTATAGTTTTCTGGAAATATGCTTACTTTATTATCTCTAGTTCTGGTCTGCCAGTCTAGCAAACTGTAAACCAGTGCTCTGCTGACTGTCAGCTCTATTGCAAATATAATCCTGGATTTGTGGGAGCCCTTAGAAAAGTTTATTTGCAGTTGAACACCAAAGGTTCAACTTGAAGCATTTTGTATTAAAAATCACTTTGTTTCTTAGTATCATACTGAAATACAAGTGTGTATTTATTTTCTTTCAACTTAACTTTGATATAGGAATACTATTTCCAAATGCCTCCCATTCATACTTTTTTCTGTTAGTTGTTTTTGGGGTTTCTGGATGTGAGTGCTCTACTTTGGGCTGGGTGGGCCAAATGGTTTCTTCAGGCTAGTAAGTTCCATTACTTCACACACACATTTCTAATCACCTTGAAAAGACAATAAATATCAGCTCACAAATTAATTATTTGCATCTGCCTGCTAATATTACAGTCAGTATGGAAGAAGCCACCTGTGGGATATTTTTATTCTTTTCTTGTACGTGACAAATATGGATAGATAATCCAAGATGCTTCAAAGAACTGGTCAGGGAATTGCTTATTTTCCTCATGAAAAGATTTTGATAAATGAAAGTGCTTGATTTTTATGAAAATCAAACAACCCTAAAAGGTCACAAGTCCCAAAACTATTGAAGGGATTTTCTTTGAGGTGAAAAACAGGTCTTTTAATTAAAAGTTTTGTATTTTTACTTTTTACCAATACAGTTTCTTTAATTATTTTTTATGGTTTTGTTTTTATGGCAAGTTCCAGCAACTTCAGTTTCTGATTTCCTTAATTTGAAAAAAAATGTATCCATATATATTGAAATTTGTTTATTGAGGTATGTTTTATAAGATTATAGCACTGAAGCCTTTTTAACATTAACTGAAGCATTTTTTAAACATTGTTTAAAGATCTGAAGGCAATTTGACCAAGTCATGCAAGTAAAATACCCTGTGCTTTGTCAGAAACTAAATGTGGATGCTTTTAGACCAGTATGAAAATGTTTTGGAAGTGTATGTTGTACTGTTGTACTTGAGTAATTCTAGGCAGCTAAAATAGATACTATCCAGTTTGCTGAGTGAAAATTTCCAAAACAGTACAACAAATTGGAAGCTTTAGTTATGATATATGGCATACTGTGAGAGCATTTTATTCCAACATTTAAAAAGAAAAAGCAAGAATATGATGTGTTTTATGGGAACTCCCCCAAAAAGTTATATGCCAAAAATATGCAAATATATCTAAGAGGCCTGAGGGCATATGATGGAAAATATAAGACGTTAAGATATTTCTCTACCTCTGACTGTAAAAGTTGAGTTGCTTGGTCAAAGTGAGGGGATAGAGGGAGAGTTTGGCAAACTGTAAAATGGGATTAATAAATCCAGTATGCTAACAAAGTATGGAGCTACTTAGAAGGATGGCTCAAGCACATGGGAATAAGTGAAAACTATTGAAGTGAGTACATAAAAAGGCTTCTGCTTTCCTTTTGCTAGAGGGAGATGCCCTTCTAATAAAGGTGAAACAGGTTCAGTGTGGTAGGGAATGCATTAGGCTAGGTACGCACTAAACTTATAGTTCTCAAACTGTGGGGTTCATGGAAAGGCAATCTTGAACAGCTGAATCTATGTTTTAAAAACAATTTTTCACTACTAGTAAATATTTCTGGAAAGCATGCATTTATTTGCTTTTGCTGCCAGCAGCTGCTCATGCTCTAGAGCAGGGCAGTCAGTGTTTAGACTTATAGCCAGCATTTGCAGATGCCTTTCACTCCCACAGTCTGGTGGGGCTTAACAGCTGCTCCCAGTGGAGAAGTGCTGGTCAACATGGCAGTAGCATCAAAGCAGGGGATTTACTGCTGATAGCTGTGTAGGCATGGTTTGTGTGGTCTCAGATGAAGTTTGTTTGAAAGAAGGGAAGGATAATCACATGTGGGTGGATAGGCCCAAATAGACAGGCATGTCTGAAAAAAAAAGATATGTAACAAAATTGAGGAATACTGCTCTCTGATGTCCTATGAGATGGGGTTTACTCCATCTTTTTCCTACTCTACAGGGCTACTCTGAAGCTAAAATTTCAAAAATAAACAGGGTGTAATACATACACTCGATAAATGTAAACAGTTTGTTTAACCCTTTCAGAATGGGGCTCAGTACAGGGTGTGATCCACTGGAAAGAACAGGATCGTGCTTTTTTTCCTAACCTAAGTAAGGTGGACGCATCAAAACAGTTTGGCCTCTGAAATCTTTAATTCTTTCAAGTCTGTTGATACTAATGAGGTTCTCAGGCTGGATGATATCCCCTTTTCTGTCATATCTTCACTTTTTCCATTCCTGGCACCCTACCTCTTTGTTCTCCACACAAAAAGCTCATTTACTTGTTTTCTTGCTGGCTCTAGCTGCTGGGGTTCATTTCCTTTCTATGCATTTTCTTCAAAAGGCTTGAAATGTCACATAGCTATATGTCCTGCTGAGATGCTCTTGTCTTATTAATGTACCAATGGGTGTTTCTTAATGAGAAAACATGAAAGTATCATGAGCCTCCTCTGCACCTCCCCAGACTGATCATGAGAAATTGATGAATTGTGTGAAGTCTGCAAAGACTTGGGAATTCATTTTAAGTCTGTTTGGACAAATATGCACAAATAAGAGTTTGTTCTTTAGGAAATGTTTTGAAATTGGCTTTTCCAAATAGCCTATTTTGACAAGGGCGCAGGGATCTGAGGCTGAGCACAACCTGACACAGTATACCCAGAACAATATAAGTAATGAATTCCCCTAACATGATAAAGGCAATTTATGTCACAGGGGCTTGCACTAACTGTTCTCACTGATATTCATCTCAAGTTAGTAATTTGGGTCTCATATATATTCAGTGGTAAGAGCCATCAGATGCTCATGGGGTGAGTGCTTACCCTCCACTGCTGATCTCCCAAGGAAGTGATGCAGCACAGACCCAGTGATGGGGACCAGGTTCCTCATCTCAAGGCTGGGCCTGTAACTCTGGTGGTTGTGGTTGTTCCTTGTCTATAGGCTGAGGCAAAAGTCGTCACACTAGTGCTTTTGAAGACCTGGTAAGTGTTTTCTTGTCAATTTGGGAGCCTCATTTTCAACTCTCCTATTTCAAACTCTTTTCTAAGTTGATGTTTGCTTCGGCTGCACTTTTTGTTCCACAGTGCTCATTGTATAAGAGAGAGGAGAAGGCAAGGTAGCAAAAAGCAAGCACCAACACGGTAGGCAGCTGTTTAATCTCTTCACTGTGTTTTAAACAGATCTGTCTAGTTACACTATGTGAGGCACACCCATTGCACTTGTTGAAGGAATGGCTTGGTCATTTCCTTATCAGAGACCTTCTTCTCTTGGTTCTCTCTACCCACCATACATGGTCTCTGCATGACTTTGAATTGAGGGATTATGGTTGATATCAGTAGGAATCACAGCATTTCTAGAACCAAGTCAAAATACCCAGGAACCACAGATTTCAAAAGCCTCGGCTGTGGGTTAGCAAGAGGTTAGTTGCTATGACAAGGGCTTTTTGTTTGTTTTTCTGAGTGTCTTTGAAAGTATGTCAAGTCCAAGAGGTGATATCACTAAGTATTTGTGTCTACATTACTTTCAGGAGAAACCAAGGCACAGATTCTGGACCTAGGGTGTTCCAGAATGATCACACTGGATTACATGATAAGGTGGGGACATGTCTTAGGCTGCAGCTGGGAGAGTGCCTCTGACTGCTGTGTGCCTTTCCTGAGCAATGTTCCCTGCCAAGAGACCTCCTGTCCTACACTGCAGCATCCTGGTGTCCATGCTGCTCCAGGAACCCCCAATGTATGGTACTGTATAGTTCCAAACCCCCAGCGATGGCAGGGGGGTTGCAACTAGATGATCTTTAAGGTTCATTCCAACCCAAACCTATGGTTCTATGACTCTATGCTGTGTGGAACCACGCAGCACAGCCACTGCCCTTGAGGCTGGCTGGATGCACTGTGGGGATGTGTGAGTGAGGTGTGGCTCTGTGATGGAAGCATGTGAGAGGCTGCGCTCTTGGCACAAAGTAGGTCCTATGCTTGGTACCTGAGATTCCCTGGGGTCTGCATTATATTGTCAGCTTTGTAGCTGACAGTAATCTGCCAGTGGGAAACTAGAATGTATGGGGCAGAGTCCATCCTGTATCAGCTACAGGCAGTTTATGTAAGAAAATGCAAAGAGCCACCCAAGTCAGATGAAAGGTTCACCTATTCCTGTCGCTGGAGATAGCCAAATGGGGAAGCCTAAGGAGGAATGTAAGAACAGAGCAAGCCTGTAGTGATCCCTCCACAGAATTCTCCCCCAGGATCCAGAGATTTTTGACTCAGGTACTCCCTTAGGCAATGGTGGTAACTTTGTATTCAGGAATCCTTAACAGATTTTTCATTGGGAATTTTCCAGTTTTGAACATACATACACTTTTACATGTATTCCTGTGCTAGGATGCTTTGCAGCTTAACCACGTATTGTATCATCACGAATCTCTCACTTGCTTTGAACTTCTTGCCACCTGCTCATTTCATTTAATGCCCACAGTGGGAATTATGCTTTGAGACCAGAAGATCCCTTGCCAGTGTGTAATGCGTACTGAAACGTGTGCTGCATGGGCAAATGGGAGGCATAAACCAGAGATTCCTCTGCTCTGGCCTTTGTGAAGCCACATCACACTATCACTAAAACTGCAGAAAGAGTTTCGAAAGAGTGACTCACTTTGTACTATCATGTACAAAAATTTTAATCCTGATGTCTTATGTGGAGCCTAGGGGAGCAGGTGTGGGAAAGGAATGATGAAGAAGTTTCAGATGAGACCTTGTCTTGATACATGCAGTAAACATTGTAACCTAAAACCCTTTTATAGTTAGGTCAAAAGTTCAGAAGAAAATAAAGCATTAGAGGAAAAGTACAGCAGGGACTTCCCTTACAAAAATATGTATAAAATGTGAAACTGTCCTTGAAAATAAGAACAGTAAGATGTAATGGAGTGCAAGACTGGATAGATAAGTTATTGATGGCAACAGATCTTTAAATTACATACAGCAGCAGGGAACACTCGGTGTTAAAAGATAACACATGCATATCCGCATATTGACACATTCTCTTTTTTTAAATCTGGCCTCCTATGTTGGTATTTTCATTGGCAGCAGGAAAATAAATTTTGAGTAATCTCTGATTTTCATTCCAGATAGCATCTTCCTTTTTCCAGCTGCCAGTAGTTACAAGGATGTTATGCAAGAGTAGTAGCTTACTGGTCTGAACTGGTCCCTTGGCCTTGCAAATCTTATAGTCCTGACTCCTGTTCTGATGAGCTGTACTGTTTCCTTCATGGGTTCTGTACCATTACTTTTAAGGGGATTACCTGCATGAACAAGACTTATGGAACTGAGATCATTATGAGGAAAACCGTGAATCGTGTGTGCTCAAATGAAATGTTTGTGCTAGAAAAACATCTCATTAATTCCTTCTGTATCATACTTATGTGTATGTGTGTGTGCCTAAACCTTATTGTGATCACAAAATCAAAGGGAAACCACTCAGGAGTTTCAGTGATCATAGTAGTATGCAAGCAAATGTAGAAATACCCATTTTGAGATATTTTACCCATCACTTTTTTTGAATGTCATCACTGCCAGCAGGAGTTTGAATCAGACAGTTGTTACTAAACCAAACCAAAAAACCTTTTCTCAGACTGTAAATATGGGATCAGAAGAGACTCTGAGAGCTTCTTGAATCCACTCCCCTTAACTATTCTGAGTAGGTGATTGTCTAATCTCTTCTTAAAAACCACGGATGGAGACTCCACATTCTCCACAGTTTTCGAGTGCTGAACTAACCTTCCCACTACAAAGCTTTCATTATGTCAAATTTGCATCTCCCTTGTGCAGTCGAAGCCATTAATTCTGTTCTACTGCAACAGGCATTGAGAAGAGTCAGTTCCCTGCTTTGCAGTAGCATTTTATGTACATGAAGCTTAGAGTTGCCCCTCTGCCTTCTCTTTTCCAGATTAAATCTCTCCCCTCCCTTTGATCATAACCTGCTGCACACTTTCTCTAGATCTCTTCCTTGAAGTGGACTACCAAAATTGGATGCAATAATTCAGACCTTGCCTTACCAGCATTTCATGGAGCAGAAGTTTTAGAAATTTCTTTCAATCTATTTATATAGCTCAGTATGACATTTAGCTTCATCCATCTAAGGATAACCTATAGCTTTTTTGTCACAGAGTAGAACTGTAATAGGAATAGCAAACCTGTGGTTGCTGAATCACATGCAGTTTGTAAGTGGATCACATATCACTTCCCTGTATTGGGCTGTATAGGGTACCTGGAAGGATTCCCTGTGACTGGAGCCACAGAAGTGGCTCAGACACTACAATTTGTTCCTCAGACTGAAATGTGGAAGACTTATTTTCAATATGGATTGAATCCTATAGTTCTCCTTAAGAACTGAGCTTGAAGAAACTGAGATGAATCCTATCAGTTGATGGCTGCCAAGTAATCACCCAAGCTACCATTGTAAGACAGGGCAATGTTTTTTCTGACCGTCCCTGCTACAAAGAGTAAAATCCATCCAAACACTCCTCATTTGTAGTACTTGTATTTAACTACAAAGGCAGCACTGTCAAGCCAGAAATTGTCTAAGCTGAAGATATCCAAAGAGACAATTTTTGCTGACTGAAGTCCATTGGGTCCTCAAATGTGCGAGTGATGTGATGGAGAAACAGGACTGCTGAGCAAAGAATCTTTGGGATCCACTTCTGTGATGCATCACACTGCAAATATAAAACACTGTCTAGAGGCAGTGTTTTAACACACCAGTACTGAGCTGGTGTGTTAACAACCAGCACCAAAGTGCTGCACAGCTCTGTAAGAAACCTGGGAGAACTGTTTGTCTTCCCAAGTACAGGCATGCATTTACAGCTGTACACAAGCTCTTCTCTATTAGTACAACCTATGAATGAATAAACACTGATAAGAGATGCTTAAATATTGTGCCTGAACTATGTTTTGACAGCTGTCGCTTGTACTGTCTCCCCCTAGGTCTATCTTTTAATTACATCAGGTTAACACAATGTTTCATCTGTCACCCTTGGCAGATAGCAGAAAGGAACAAACTCATCCATGGGATAAACAGGTTTAGCCTTTCTTGCTGCCATGACACAGTGCTTGCTGCTCTCTTCGTGAATCACTCATTACCCATAGTCAGTTATCACAGTTAGAAAAAGAAATGTCCTGTCTAAGGGTTGAGCAGTCGTTCAGGGAATTGGCGTGTGCTTTACATGACACCATGGTCCAGCAGCTAAAGCATTTTTAGCTGAATCTGCATCGTGTGGTATAATTCTAAATCCCAAGGCACAACTCTATTTTCATCACTTAAAGGGGTCTGAGAATTGGCTGGAGAATGAAAAGAAACAGTTTTAGCTCTCGAGCAATTACTTAATCTATGTACGCATCTTTCCATAGTCATTGAAATTTTCCTGCAAATTGGAATTGCTCAAATATTCCCAGAGAATAAAATGGAGAGCCTTCAAGGTTAGCGTTCCTTCTGTGTGCAGATTGCTAAATGCAGGATGTAATTAGTTACCTTTAATGGCACGTTTATGGAGGCAGGGTCAGTCTCCTGGGGAAGCAATTCCAAATCACACATCTTCGGTGGGTTCTGCAGTGCTGCTGGCATCTCGCATGTGAATAACAAGTCTTGGAAATACTCTTTGCAAGTGGGTTGGCTGCTGGAGAACAAAGACTGAAATCAGTTCAAAGAAAAATATCCTCTAACAGCTTGTAATATAATATATTTTTAAAATGACCCTGGAAAATGAATTTCCTTTTGGAAAATTTGTTACTGGGAAGATCTCTGAATAGATTCTTTGCTGACTGCTGCAGAACTGTGTTAAGATGGAGCAAAATACAGTATGGTACAATAAATGTTATAGTCTGCATGTAGAAGCTCAGATTATTGAAGGGTTTTCCAAATACAAGACTTATAAATTTAAGGAAGACTGGCTAGATTATTCCCTATTTTCTAACATGCACTCATGCACTAACAGAGATTAATGTGCACACTTAGTAGTTTCTTTCAGATGCATCATTAAGTTAAAATAATGACATTCATGATAGTGATAATTCATTGGAGCTGAAAATTTATTATCCTTTTGATCCAGATTTTATATTACCTTTGTCTCTTTCCAGATGCAGAAAAGGGAGAGGAAGGCAAACACCTCCCATTTTGTGTTTTTTTAAGGAAAAGAAGAAGCAGTTCCACTTCCGTGCATTCCTTCCAGCTCCAGCCACCTCTGCAAAGGCCACTACAGTGGAGATACATCTGTCAGGCTGTCAGCCCCCTTTCATGGCCAGCTGGCTAGTGATGTCCACACACAGGGCAGACCACACATAGGGGTTGATGTCAAACAGGGCAGTTGCAAAGGACTGTCACTACTGTGTGTTGGCACAAAAGTCTGAGTCTCCGATTTCTGTCACACAAAGCTTAATCCTTTTCTTGTTTGTATGCTAACACTCCATCCTTTCCTTTAGAGATAGTTCAGACATTACTAAGATAGCAGATGAAACACAGGTAGCTTTTCTCAGAGAAGTAATGACTCTTGTGTTCATGTCTTATCTGGCAGATTCTCTTTTTTTTTTTTTTTTTTTTTAAATTGTTTCAGTAGCAGATAGCTTCCCCCATTCACCATCCCTGCCATGACAGGCCTCATGTTTCCATTCTGGACTGTAATCACTCACACAGTGAGGGAGGAAACTGTAGATGACTGAGCATTCTTTATGCAGTGGAAAATGCTGGAAGGGGCTGTCTGTGGGTCAGATGGGTGACTTGGAATGAATCACAGAGGAGAGAGTGAACAGTTAGTTTGGGGTCATCTTTATTCTACCTCCCTTGTCTCTTTTCTTCAGTTTTCCAGTCTTACTGAAGTTAGATCTTTCAAGATCTTTCCTGAGAGCAAAATGAGGCAAAGAAAGCACATCTCTCTCATTTTTTTCCTAGTTGCCAGCCAAAAGCTAGTCAGACTTCAGCACCTGTGGAACCGTGAGGAGTCATCTCTGCTTCTGTGCTAGTGCCTGCTCATCTTGGTGAAATGCCTCCTACATTTCTACCTTTGTAGAAAGGAGAAGCTATCTGAAATTCTCTGCAAACTGACATAAACCCAAAGCATCTTCCTGGAGAGGGAAGAGGTTTGTGATAGCGGGAGAGATATGGAGCTGACTCATGCTGCAAATCTGAGACTTCCCTGCAGCAACTAATGATAAGCTGGGGTACACAGTGTGCACTGCGGCTGCTCAGGAGACTTCAGCTTCACCTCCCCATAGCCATGGAGCCTGGCACAGGCTCTTCTTGGCTCAAGGGCACTGTTCCAGCCAGTAGGGCTTTGGCAGTCCATCGTGGCAGTGTCACTGTCTTGCTGTTGCTCACTATCCCAAGAAGTGGTAAGTCCTGCCCTTAACAATCCTCTCTGCCAGAGCTGCTTTGCTGCTGCTGTGTGCTGCAATGGGCAATTGCAGCTGCACTGAGGTGCCACTAACATTGCTGCAAGAAGCATTAACTTGGACTGAAATATGTGCTGGTTGTTAAGGGTTATGCCTTTTCCAAGGACTGCTGGCTGGCTCCTCTGAACAGATATCAAACTGCAGTGTAAATATGGAAGAAATTCTGCAAACTCACCAGGAATATGGGGCAAAGCTCTCTCCCATCTCATCTGTGCTTTTGTCTTATCTTTTCTTCCAGTTTGCAGAGCCCTTTGCTCCTTTTCTTGCTGTGTAGTAGATAGGAACATTTGGCTTTTTGCAATCAAAGCAGCTAAGGGGGTCTCAGTGGGATTATTTTTACATGTAAGCATTGCACAAGTCCAGCTCCAGGAAAAGAGGCCAATATTTTCTTTAACACATGCTGGTATAAAATAGGAACAACTCTTCTAAAAACTTAGAGATTGAGATGGCCTTGAATTAGATCCAAGGACCTCAGATTAATTACAAAACTAAATCACAATGAATGTTCTTTTATAGTTCTTTGACACAATGGTCCCTGGACTAAGTGAACCTGGATGTCAAATATATAGATAAGGATGATCTATACTGAAGCAGAATAAAGGGCACATTTATATTACTGAATTAAGGGTCTATCCTTTGGTGGACTCTGCTGTTACTGTATTTGAACAAATCGGAGAGCAAAATCAGGTCTCTGCTACTGAGGAGAGAAGGTTGCATGGCATATGCAGCTTGTTTCACTCAGTCTTGCTCCTTTGCCAGAAATTCATCTCTTCTCTCCCAAAAATGGTGCTGTAATGTTTCTTGCACTGCAGAAACTTACAGCACATGCCACAAAGGTCATCTATCCTCCTTCTTTTTTAAAGGCTATCAGGATAGAGTCTGTATTAACATTGTAAGTTTTAAGTTGCAGAGTAAGGACCCAAATAAATTGTAAAGAACTCCCATTGCCTTTCACAAAGAGATGAACAGTCCTTTCACGCTTTACATAACTGCAGCATGCCTTGGAAACAAGGTTACATCTATTTCAGTCATTATGACTGAGACAGCTCAGGCAGCACTAACTGCAGGCAGATTTCCAAACAGAGAAAAGAGTTGGGGCCTGCAGCATTTTGGGAAAGACAGTATTTGGGAATGAGAGGAGCCCCAGGTCCTACACTTGCCAGGAGCCACACATTCATACAGACACCCAGTACTACTTGTAGGTTGATTGGCACTGTCACCCGCCTAAGAGGAAGCATCTCCTGCTGGCTTCCTACCAGCATGCAGAGTCTCTAATTTAGGAAAGCAAAGTACAGTCTTGCATGCCAGTCCTGAAAAGCTACCAGCGCTGATGTGGAAACAAGGACAGGCAAATCTGTAAAGCTCTAGCCAAGAATAAAAGCACACTTGCTTCTGAATGGAAGCAATTGCAGTGCATAGTGACATGGAGGGACTTTGTTCAGCCTGGAGGAAACACATGGAGATCTGATTGCTGCCTGCAGCTAGGAGGGCTGAGGAGTTGGAACCAGGCTCTTACCAGAGGTGCACAGTGACAGGCATGCAGTGGCACCAGTCACACACTGCAATGAGAAACACCAGCTCGGTACAGCTGATAAAAATGTCACAGCCAGAGGGATGCAGCATGGGAACACATTTTCTAGGGAAGGTGAAGGGTTTCCATCCTTGTAGGTACACAAAGTTTGACTGGACAAGGCCCTGAGCAATCACTTTGAAGGTGTCTCTGCAGGGAGTGGAATGTTGAATGAGACAAGCTCCATACCCACCCCAATTTTTCTTTGATTCCAGGTTGTTACTTATGTTGTTTCCAACTAAAGTGACAATGAAAAGTCATTTCACTCTGTTTCCCTCTGCTTCCTTACTTTCATATTGGAAATAGTATTTTACTTCCACAAAACTTGTGTCCTTCATTTTTATTGCCTTTTTTAGTTCCAGAGTGAGCTTGAAGGTATACAAGTCATAAAGAAAATACCAGTCTTTAGGAAGGCAAATACTAGAAAAAACATGGCAGGCCAGTAGTCCAAATATCCTGACACTAATGTAACGCTTTAAATAAAAAAGGTTTCTTGATGAGAGGGATTGAAATTATAAAGTGAATTGAAATGTCAGTTTCTCCCTTCTAGGTCCCCAGAAATAACTCCTTTTTCATCTAGGTAAGCACCATTAGGAGGAGCAAGAATAATGCCATCTGGTTATTCCCAATCATGTCTACACAAGCATTTGCTTGAAATGATACAGAATTGGCCTTGTGGGCCACAGCAACAAGCCAGAGCTTGTGGGCATTTGCAACATGAAGCTGAATTTAAACAATTATAATAGCCATGCAGGTGGAAGGCAGTATAGGATATGACATCCTGGTTACAGACATTGAGAGATAGTTCAATTTCCTAAAATGTCAGTGATGTCAAAAAATTCTTCTATATAGCTACAACCACCTCTTTTCCCCTTAGACCTTTTGCCCTTAGAAAAGGCAAAGCTTTTTCCAGTAGTAGTTCTGGAAACATTCCATTACCCTTCCTGCAGGCAAAGTTTTCTCCATGTATGGATACATGAGAATGGTCAAATAATGAATGAGCTGATTGGCTGAACATCTGCAGGTGCTCTATAATGACAACAATTAAGCTATTCTGAAGCTATTACCATATTAAATTAACTTACTGCAATGCTATTAATTAGAATTCGTGTTCTAGAAAGGAAACAGAGCAGCAATTACATTGTTATTTAATGAGCTGTAAAAGTAAAATATAAAAATGGGAAATTTCCTCATATAATTTAAGGCTGGAAGATGGTGGGTCAAACTGTTCCCCAGTGTAACTCTAGCCACTTCTGTACTTTTGCAACATGAATGATTATATACATGTTACCTTTTGTCTTGAAATAATAATTATTTGCATCTGATAACTAAAGCTCTTCAACAGTTATGCCAAAAACTAGATATTAGGCCAAGTTCAGCTGTTCTCACTGTGAAGTCTGAAATTTGAGATGGTTTTGGGAAAAGACTCAGTAAGGTTTGTGACTGAAGTTGTCAGTTGATTGCAGCAATGCATATTTTACAGACAAGATTTAGCAGTGATTACTTTTTTGCATAACATTTTAAGGCTCTTCTTTTGCTTATTTTCTAGCCCTCCACACCTTGGTAGAAGTAAATATAAGTGCTTTTGAGTTGTTATTTGCTGTTGAAATTCTCAAATTCTGTGACGTGGTGATTTCTTCAAGGTATGTCCTTGAAAACTGA